TTCTGGGACTGTTTTGTGTCACCATCCATTCCAAATAGATATATGAGCTATAATCTACATCTTCTGTAGGGAACTATGACTTCTTTAAAAATAAAGTATTAATACATGGCAAGTTTGGATGCTGAAACATTAGGTGCATATATAAACAGTCAATTTTAAAGAAAATCACCTTGGAATTGGTGCAAAATATTGTTGCACCTTGAGATTATATCTTTTCTGAAGAAAGAAATCATATCTCTACAGAAAACATTATTAGAATTCTGCCTTCTGGCAGGATATATATATAGGGTAGTAATTTTAAGGCTTCACATCTATATTTAGAAAGACCTTTAATTCTGGGACCTGTCTGGATTCTATGCAAGGCATGCTAGTCCAGATACTATCTGGAATTTTTGACTCCCACAAAAAAGGCCATTTTAAAAAAAAAATCTCTTCTTGGACCATGTAGGAATGGAATTCATGTAGGACATACGGGAAATTTACAGAGTTTATATGTCAGGCTTAACTCTGAATTTTCTTGCTTTCCAAGATTATTAGCTATTTGCATTGTTTCACTTAAGATTTTTTTTTTTTTAAATGTAGTTTAATACCTTACTTATCAGAGGAAAGCAGGGTCCAGTTAGTTAAGGTTTCAGTTGTACGTGGAACGCAACTTCCTAAGCTTGTCATGCATCAAACTGTTATGGCTGGCAATTGTTTAAAAAAATTCATTTTGTTATGAACTAGCCTGTTTTCAACTGGGCTGTTCAGAGATGGATTGCTTTCTGGAGTTTTTGACAGGTGTAATTGTTAAGGCGTCATCTGTTCTTGTTTGCACAAAATACATTTTAGCCAACTGTAGGACTTGCCCGCTAATCTTTCTCACATCATTCCATTCTTTGCTTGCCACTAGACAAATCCCCTGTTATTTGACCAGATGGTGGAAAATCCATTCTCATGATAAGTTGCTTCTAGTTTGCATTTAGATTACCTGCAAAAATGGAACAATTTACTACTCTGCCTCTAACCATCTCTTTCCTCCTTTTTTCCCTTAGTTTGACTTCTTGTAACTAATTATTTAAATTCTGCCCTGTGAGTTAAAATTAGTCATAGCTTACACATTTCACATGTATGTAAATGCACTTAAGTTCCACCTCAAGTTTTATGATGAATCCATCTAGAGTTTAGTGACACGTAAAGAAACGAAGATGAGCTGTCTAATGTGCAAACACAGCAGTTTGTAAATCCTTTTGCATCTGAGGTGATACTTTTAAACTTTTTAGGGAAGGTGTGCAATGTCTGAAAACCAAGGTCAGGTGTGAGAGTGTACCCAGCATCATCATCTTACATCACACCCCCTAAGGAATAGTGGATACAAATATTAAGTGAAATATCATGTTTCATGCACTGTTTGTAGGCGTTTTGTCTGGTATGTTTCTGGCTGCTTGGGAAAATAACCTGCAGTAGGTAGATAGTTATAGCCTAAAACTAATTTTTGCCTTTATTGTTATAAAATGGCAACTTTTACTCTATCTAAAAGCTTACATGAGAATAGGTGCTTGTCTCTCAAATCAGTCAAAATTCAACTAAAACTGGGGACAGCTAACCCCTGCAAATTGATCAGACTCAAATACTCTTCAATGCTCTAATTTTTAACGCAGAGAAGCATACAAAAAATCAATTTCAAAGCATAAAATAGAACAAGAATATACAGTACCTAGAGTAAATAGCCAATATACAGTTTTTATCTTCAGCTAAATCAATTTTGTAAGTGGAACCTTGAGATATACTCTATCTGCTGACATAATGTGGTAAAAAACGTTAACAAAATTAATTTGGTGAAGATTGCCTAAAATTATTCTTTTTAAGAGAGAAAAAGATACCCCATGACCAAGACTGATTGTCTTGGTTAACTTTTTTTTGTATCCTAGCAAGTAGTTCTTGCAACTTGCTTTTATGTTGTTTGTGGGCTTGTTGTTGTATTTTTGAGGGTTTTTTCCCTTAGTTTATTTTAGTAACGAGTGCTGATTAAGCTGTTCTGTGAGGAAGTTTTAATTTCTGACCCATAGCCTCATAGTTACCAAATTATCATTAATTGTAAATGTAGATCTATTAAATGACAGCTAAAATAGTTGGGACTGAGGGCAAATGCATGTGATGGTGATTTTAAGTACATAAAATAAACCCATGATTTTTATTCAGCATAAATGTCTGTTTATGGAAATACATGTACTCTGCTAAAATAAACTTAAAAATAAGAGACAAACATTATTCAAGAAAATAAAATAGTTTTTTTTCCTTCCCAAAGAATTAGTGTAGGTTGCAGCTAGAAGTCTGACGTGTGCTTTGAAATGCATTCCAAAGCGTCTCAGGACTGTTTGATTTTTCAGGTTAAGCACAATAAGCCCCATTCTGTGCTAACTTAGATGCTGTGCAATCTTGATGAAGTCAGTGGGGTTTTAAGAGATTTACATTGATGTCTTATTTAGCTTGGTGTTTGGGGATATGACTTTTTGGTTTTCCTATTATTATTATTACTGTTTCAGCAGAGAGGGAATAGGTGAGAGTTAAATAACTCATTAAAGAAAATTTTTAGAGAGCATTGGGTAATTGTCTGGCAAGTTCCTAGGATCTTGGCTCCTGAAGTGGAATCTAGCTCTATGCACCGCAAAGGAAGCTTTCACCATGACCCACAGTAGCTGTTAGGATATCTATAGAGCCTTACATATTGCTTAATTTAAAAACAAAATGCAACCCCCACTCCCCCCACCACCTCAATTCTTCCCATTCTCCAAAAATGTTGAAACTTATTTCTGACTAGATGTAAAGCAGGGTTGTGGTTCACAGTCCAAATCTCTGATCTGGCCTTGAATCACAGAGCTGCTGAGGATGGAAAGGATCTCTTGCCCAGCTCATCTGGGTTGCAGAAACAGTTATCTGGACCTGATTGCTTAGGATCATGTCCAGGAGGATGTTGATTCTCTCCCTGGTGGAGACTCCACAATGTCTTTGTTCTGGTTCTTCATCACCCTACAAAAGTCTTTCCTGATGTTCAAATGGAACATCCTGTGGTTCAGTTTCTCTGTCATCTGAAAAAAGAGCAAAACAATGACTGACCAAACCAAAGCTGCTTGACAAGTATTCTACGTGAGCTTGGTGCAGTGGATACTTATTTAGGACCTGTTTAATCACAAGGGTGTTCAAATCCACATCTTCTACTTCCCAGAAGAATGCTGTAGCCACTTCAGAATAAAGGTTTTCTGGAGTGAGCTCTATTCTGCTGCACTTGTATAACTACTCAAGTAATAGCAATAACCAGTATTACTATTCCAGACTCATTTGGCCAAAGTGGTTGGAAGAAAGAGCATAATTCTGAAGGCCTGTGATAAGGGCACTCATCTGGGAAGGATTCTGATAGTTTTTGCAAGGATTGCTTATGCATTTTTGAATGACTTAATGCAACATGCTCTCACTGTCTTTGTTTCATCCAATGAATCCTGACTTTTTTTCTTTAATAGGGCTGTTGTTTTAGCAGGAGGAGTTAAAGTCTCATTTTAGGAGTCTGTGGTAATCTTTTGAGCAGAGGAAGATGTATGTTTGAGGATCCGCTGGCTGAGAGGCACTGAGACTTGTTCTCTCATGTCTTCACTGAAGCCATGTAAAAACAGGCACCTCTTCTAGTCTTGTATCACAAAGCAAAAAACAAAGACACAAAAAAAAAAAAAAAACAAAAAATGGCATGGGGAGTTAAATTTGGGCATTTTGTCAGCCAGTGTGATGGTGCACTGAAGATTTTGAAGCTTGAATTTCCTTTGATGCAGGCATTTCTGTATGCCCCGAAGTGAAGGGTTTGTGTGTCTCAGGCACACACAACATAGAGGAAACGCTCCTGGATCCCTTGGACTGACTGACGTGGTTCCCTGCAGATAGTGCTCGTGTTTCAAATCCTGTTTTAAGATACTTAAGTTTCCTTCTCTGGTGTGTATGGCACTTAAATGTCTAAAGTACAGGTATCACAATAAATAAGTCTCTCTGGTAGTGTCTTAATTAGTGAATGCAGGAATATGCCAGAATTCAGAGTTGTTTGGTCCTGCCTTCATCACAGTGGCGTCTCCTTTCTTCTGCCTGTGGGGTCCCATGGGGCAAAAACAGTGCTGAGGCCAGCTCAGACCAGGTTTTTACTTTAAATGAGCAAGGAGCCAGGGCTGTAAAGACAAGAAATTGTTTGCACTTGACACACTGTAGGTGCAGTCTTATTGAGGAAGGTCCTCAGTTTCCACAATAGATAACTTTCCATTTGCTCATAGAGCTTGTAGCTGGAGAACGATACTAATTTTTTTCTCAAGCCTGCAGTCTCAAATTACTGTTGAAACAATTTTAAAAACCAAGATTAGCTCAGAGCTATGTAGATGTTAATACTATAAAAATAATGATAACATAAAATAATTCTCTACTCACTAGAATATTTATTTTTAAAAAAAATCACTTCCTAAATTTCTGCATTTGAAAAACCTGTAAAATTTCCCAAATAATTTGTCCTTACTCCAGTGAAATACCATTAAATTACAAGGGAAAAAGGTATTAATTTGTGGAAGATACAAAAGCATTTAAAATGTGTTTTTATTCCAGAGAAGAGGGAGGAAAAAAAAAAGAAAATTGGTGGGTACTGTTTTGTGTGCAATTCCCAAGTATATTTTAAAAACAACATTGAATTTTTATAGCCAAATTATATTTTCTGCTAACAGGGAGCTGGGGAGGGATGAATAAGAGAATGATTGACAAATCTTTTAGGGCCTGATTTTACAAGATGCTGCGCACCTCCTGATTGCTGCCAATCACTTTCATTTTCTTTCAGTCGATCCGAGAACATATGGCATTATTCAGATGGTGCTGAGCACCTTCAATCACAGTCCTCATAATACCACAACATCCTCATTCTGTGCAAATGTGAGAATTGCTGTTGACATTTTAAATTGGAGGGTTATTTGGTCTTTGTCTGGACAAACTCCCAGCTGACATAAATGAATGTTCTGCCTGAGGAAGGACTGCAACAGTAAACAATAAATAATCAATTTTATAAGCACTACTGTATATGTGAAATAAAGTAAACTATGTGAAATATCAACTTGATTTATAAAATTCCATACCTCTTCCACTTTTATTTGATGGGGAGAAAACACCATTCTTGTGGAGAATTGAAGTTTAGTTTACTCTCAGTGCAAATTTTGAAAAGTGGAAACTGTGGGTGTTATGTGCACAAGGCAGTTGATTTAAAGAGATCAGAAAGGCATTTAATTTAAAAATAAAATTAAAAAAAATCAATTTCAACATACTGATTTGTCCTGCATTACAGTTACCTGTAGAGATCCTCTAGTCATGTCTATCTGTTTTTGATGCCTCTACAGAATAACTGTCCAGCATCCTCTGCCCAACCAATCAGAATGTAGGAAAATCTACCGATATGACGGAATCTACTGTGAATCTACCTACCAGAAGTATGTTGAAATCTGTGTGAGTCTTGCCTCTAGCTCGTGCATTTAGTGCTCGTGCTCTCCTGCTATTCCGAAATTACACGTGTGTTGAAACCGTACACTTCTTGTGTGCAAAACCTCTACAGCAGGGACAGAAGTATGTTGTTTAATTCTTTGGGATTGTGCTCTAAAAGCTAAAAAGCAAATAAAAAACCCTAAGACTTTATAAATCTCTTAGGTATGCTTCTGTACAGTGAAATAAACAAGAGTGTACACGCTAGAAAATCTAGGCAAAATGTATTGCACAGGTGCTTCACATCTTAGGGATTTGAAAGGTGTGTTATGTATAAATTAGCTGTCACTTTTTTTCAGTCATGTAATGGAATGATGAGTTGTAATTTGCATAATCCTTTAAGAAGTCAAATTATACTGTCATGTAGCAGACTTAACATGCTAGCTAGGATTTCATAGCTTTTCAGCTAATTAGTATGTACCTTACAGGACAGTTAAATTGAAGTTGAGTCCTCTTTCTTTGCAGTCATTTGCCTTTGTCCGTTGCCCTAACAGAGCCCGCTTTTGTGCGTAACTCAAGATCATTACTGGTGCTTCTGACAAAAATGCTATTGCTCTGGGCAGGCAAATGCAAAGGGCTTGACTTCTGTTAGTTTTGCAAGCAGTGAAGTTTCTATTTTACTGCAAGAAGGATTTAATTATCTATTTCAACACAGAATCGAAAAGTATATATTTGACAGGTGTGTTGCAGATGATTTTGTATTAATATATTGCAAATGCATTATGAATTCTCTGTTATCTCACTGGATTTTGAAACTGCATTCTGTCACTTAGTGCTTGCTTTTCATGCTCCAGCTATATTCCTGTTTTGTCTACCAGTGTTACCATTATCATCCTCTCTATAACATTTCATTTTCTAATAACCCATTAAATTCTAAAAATTAGTTGTGCTTTGCATTAAAACAAAATGTTTCTTTGGCAAGGACATTCATACTCACTACAGTTTTTTAGATCATGTTCTCTCATTCCCTCTTTTGATTCTATAACCTGCTGTTGTTTCCTGAATCTTTTCTCTTAGTAATAGGTACAACCACATCAGTAAAAGCTGTTACTTCGATGTAAATGAAGACTATCGTTTTGGTTTACAGAAGTGAGAGGAAAAGAGAAATCTAGATTTATCAAAATAATTACAGCATCAGTGTAACTTGGTGAGCCAAAATGAAAAACTGACCTCTTGCTTGGCTTTTTTTTTTGTGAATGGCTACTTTTGGTGTGAGATATGACTTACTCCCGATTTACACAGACATAAATACTTTCTGGACTTTTTGAATTTTTTGTGGCTTATCCCTTCTGTATCTCTAAATAATGGCAGTGTCCAGGGTAACTGAAGCAGTCTGCATCTACTGTGATTTTAAATGTCACCACAGAACTTAATTTCAGTGTTTTTGCTTCTCTTGTAAGTTCAGTAAGCATAAAAATATATTCATTTATTTAAACGTATGAAACAGATTTGTTGTGTGATATTTATATCAGTTTTTAGAACAACTTCAAGATTTTGAAACTTTGTGGAAATAAGAAAACTTGGCACAGTTTGTCATGAGTGTTAAATACAGTGATGGCTTCACTCTGAATGCTGCAATATAGTTGATTATCTTGATTTAGTTTTTTCTATTAATTAGGTATAATTTATGGTCAGTATACTTAAAACCAGCTAGCTGTGCTGCCCATAAAATGAAATAATTGATGCTCCTTTGCAATTGCAAATAAAAATTGGCAAAATAACCTTTTTGGGGAAAAAAAAGGCAAAATCCAAAAATCAGACTGGCTGTGAAACAATGTTGATGTTGATATGTTATGTCATTCCCAAAATGTGAATTATGAAGTATTATAGCCCAGTTCATCTTGCTTGTAAAAAATATGGATTATTTTGGAAAGCTAGCAGCTAGATCTTTCATAGAGTCCTTTTTGATTAGTGAAATTTTCTCTTGTTTCTTCTTCCACACTGCTTAAGGTGTCTGGCATTCTTTCTGTCTTCATCCTGGATGTTTTTGGTAATTTATTACCATTGTAATTTATTTCCAAAAATATAATAACAAGTTGCTGAAAACTGCTCACTTACCAAGACAAAAAAAAAAAAAAAAAAATCAAGCTATGTTCGTAGTACTTTGAAAGCCTTTCCCTCAAGCATTTCAAGACATACAAA